TCCACCTTCGAGAACACTCCGGAAGCAGATGTGTGTCTATGAGCTGTAAGGTGCTGAAGAGTTGAGGGGCCCTGGAGAGAGGGGCTTCTGGGAGGAGGAGGGGGCCAGAGCTTTGCCACAACCAACCAGACTCTTCCTCTCTTAGCCTTGACCGTGACTAGGTCTTTCTGACCTTGACATCACAAGATCACCGGGAAAGGGGTGGGGGTGGGGTGGAAAAGGCCTTGATCTTCCGGTGGCCAGAAAAAGGGAGGGCCGCTGGCCCCCTAACGCGCCCCCTCTTCCCGCCGGAGCCCTCCGCCTCTGTTTACACACAGAGGAGGTGCGTCTCCAGTCTAGACAGGGCGCTAACAACGCCCATAAAAGGCGGCCTCTCCCGAGCGGCTCCGGCAACCCAGCTCCCGATCGCCGCCGCCGACTGCTCCCTCCGCGCCCCGCCCCTCAGATACCTTGGCTGAGCCCGCGGGCAGCCTTGCGGTGGGGGCTGGGGGGGGCGTTCAGAGGCTTCTAGAGGCTGATAACCCCTATCCCTGGCCCTTCTGAGCCTCTTCAGTCTCCAAAGGTAAGTGGACCCCTGCGCTCCCAGCCAGCGAGTCCGGGGGGAGGGGGTTAAGAGGGGAGGGGTATCACGGAACAGTCTCTAACCACCCAAAACCTCCCAGGCTCTTTCTCCAACCTGAACCATACCCGACCCTCAGGACTCTGGGATTTTGGGAACAACTGCGTAACTGTGTTTGGCGGAACCTAAGGATATCTCAGCGCTCTCCAGGGCTGGGCCTAACTGGTGGACACTATCGAGGACAAAGGGCCAGGCTGGAGAAAGAGGGTGCTCGGAGGTGCATCCTCACCCCTTCCCCAGCCCCGCTTTGAGGTGCACCAGACCAGGCCCAAGGCTCGGCCCTGGTTACAGTAGCAGTGGGTGTGGCGTTTCTAAGCGTTTTTTTAAAGCTCAGTCCCCACACCTTTTCCTGACAGTCAGTAATTCATTAGTCGAGGAGATCCTCTGCTGGCGGAGGGGGAAAGTGTCAGAGCCGACAGTGTTCTCTTAGCACTGCAGGAAGACCACGGAGAGAGGGGGGCGGCTCCCACAGAGGCGCTCCTGAAGGGGAGCCCCACCGCGCGGCTTTCTGCGTGAAGAGTGAGCTTGGACATGTTGATGGACAGAGACCCAAAGCAGCTTGAGCCCGACAGCCTGCTCGAGCTTCCAGGGTCAGTCCGAGCCTATTTCAGGCCTTTAGACCCCTGGAAGGCAGCCTGGAGCAGGCAAGCTCCCAGTTTGATGCTTTGGTTTGGGGCACTTGCAGGAATGGTGGAGGCCAGATGGACTCTGTCCCCTAGGGGAACCGGTGAAGAGACCAATTAGGGGAGAAAGAGCCCTCCCTCTACCCCATCCCGTAGCCTTGTCTGAATGTGGAAAAGTCCATCCCAAGCCTGAACGGTCCCAAAGGGACCAGACTTGGGGGAGGGGCCGTGTGTAGAGAAAGCCCTCTCCAGCCATCATTTTTTTCCTCCTAAACAGAGCTCCCGCCTCTGTCCGTACAGGCCCCCCACCCCACCCCGGAGCCCTGCCTCATTTGCATATGCACCGAGCCCCCTTCGGAAACTGAGGCCGTGACCTTGAACTGGGTCTCACCGCCTCAGCTCACCGAAGAGTAGTCGAAAGCCAGCCAAATAATTCTCAGGTTAGGATTAGCAGAAGAGCACAAACGCAGCCACAGCACGGTCGCTTTGCCTGGGCTGCCGGAGCCTGCGAGATTTTATGTGAATTTCCGTTGGCCCGACCACCGAAGAGGCCAAAGCTGCTGGAGGGATGGAGGCGAAGAGGAGGTTAGGGAGGGAGAGGGGTGTCCTGCTGGCGAGCGAGCCTGAAGGGAAGAAGCTGCCTTTCTTGGGTCTTCAGGGCAACCTTGCACTCTAGCCTTGCCTTCAGCTTTAATTAACCCCTGAGTTAATGAGCAGGGCATGGCTGGATCTGACCAGCTGTGGGGGAAACCAGTGGCCTAGCAGACACGCCGCCCCTTTGAGCCTGGGATTTGATGAATGTGAGAGAGAGTTCCGAAGCCTCAATTGTTCGCTGCTGGCCAAAGATGACTGTGCGAGCGGCCGCGGAGGGCCTGCGGCGGACTAGACCAGACTGAACGCAGCAGCCTAAAGCCTTGGGGTGCCAGAACCCTCAGGTCCCTCCCGTAGCCCCAACCGGCTCTTGGGAAATAGCTCTTGATGAGGTGATTTAGAGTTGCAGCTTCGCACCCTAGCCTCCCGCCGGTCCCGGGCATCCAGGTCGGGAGCGCTGTTTTTGCCCCAGCCCCGTTCAAAAACCCAGCGGCCAAGCTGCAGCTGCCAGTTTACCTGGAGGCATACAGGGCCATCCCGATGCTGGACGCTTAAGTGGCCTGGGTCCTCAGAGGGGCCCTCAAAACCCCGGTTTACCCTGAGTCTTGGAGAGAGGGATTTTGCTAAGGGCAGTGGCCATGGGCCTACCCTTGACAGAAATTAGCATGTGTTGCGCAGAAGGGAAAGGGGTTCGTGCGTGAGTTTGTGTACCAAGTGTGGACCTTGGGGGAAATGGTTTCGTCAGGGGCAAACCGGGCTGGAGAAATGCGTGTCCTGTTCTCGCTCCTGCCGGCTTTGCCTCCCCGCCGCTGCTGAGGGCTCTGACCTGGGAGGGCAGCCAGAGAAGCCCGGCCTGAGATTTTTAAGCCGTGGAGAGGTGGGGGAAGCGAAGGCCTGCTTGGGGGTCTCTTCTCGTGGATTAGCACTGTCTGAAGGGAAACCGCAATGGGGGAAGACTCCCCTCAACAAAGCCGGCCAGGGCAGCTCACATCCCTCACAGCAACAATAGCGGCGGACTGCCGAGGCCTGGAGAGCTGGGCTAGACCCCCGCCAAGCCTGGTGCTCTGACTGAGACCCGTAACAGTGGGGTCACAGTCCCTTTTTCCTTATGACCAAAATGACCCCCAGATAATTTTTTAAACTAGATGTTCGTGTGCAATCAATGAGTCTTGAAAACGGAGAAATAAATGAAATTCGGAGATGTCGTGACGCACTATCTGCAGCTAAGGGTTACTCTGCAGCCTTACGGCCCCGTGATCAATTATGCACACGCACACACCACACACGCACCACACACGCGCACACACACACACACGCACACACACACACACACACACACACACACACCACACACACACACACACAAAGGCTGCTGCAGGCGGGGTCTCTCTCTGGTTCTGAGTGAAGACTGCAGAGGCTGGCATCCCAGCGGCTGTACCTCGGCGGTTCCAGCGTGGGTCGGGCGCTGGGCGAGCTCCTGGGGGCGGGTGGGACTAAGCACGTTGCCAAGAAGACTGGGGGGGGGGGGACGCGGCCAACCGGGGCCGGGGCGGGCGCCAGGCTGCGGCGGCTCGCTGCGCGGGGCAGGGCGGCGCCCGCGGGGACACATTTCTGTCAGAGCGAACAGCTATGGTTTGGGATATGAAATCGCTCCGGGAGCGGTGGAATTCGAAGAATCTGTGTTTCTTTCGCTGTCCTGCAGAAGAGAGAGGGGCGGGAGGGAGAAAAGAGGGAGATGAGAACCTTTAGCGATTGTTTTGTAGCTTGGACTAGTTCTCATTATTTAACTTCCACCTCCATTCCTTCATATTCTCTCTCTCTCTCTCTCTCTCTCTCTCTCTGCCTCCAATTCTCTGAAAAAAAAAAAAAACCGGCATGATCTTTTTAACATGCATACATTGTCTAACTATTAATTCAAACTTGCACAATTAAAACTCAAAATAAGCAAGACAAGGGAGTGTTTCCTCTGCTACAACCCTAATCAAATGCATCCGAGCTGGTTTAGGTGCCTCCGCTGAGGTCCTGAGGGTCGTGCGGATGTTCATTATCGTCCACAGCCAGCTCTGGGTTCCCAGCCTTCTCTGGAAGGAGCGCCAGAAATAAAATTTTGAATCCTCAGCAGAATAGTTCTCCGGGGCTTTCCCTCACGCCTGTCCTGTCTCGCAGACAATCTACCCCTGGCCTCTGTGCCGGGATGGCTCAGCAGCCAGCCTGCAGGTTGCGGGTGACCCCCTTTGCTGGAGGCAATGCAATGTTTCAGGCCAGCCAGTTTCTGCCGGCGGCTGACAAGCTCTGTCACAAAGACCAGTCCCCTAGAAGTCACCGAGGAAGAGCAGTTCAAGCCACCCCCAGATTTTCAAGAGCAGCGAAGAGGTCCGCCCTGAGCTCAGCACTCTCCGCCTTCGGTCCTTCCTCTAGCGCTGAGTGGAGCTGTTAGGGGACCGGCAGAGACAGCGTTATCAGCCCCCCAAAACTTCCTGGAGTCAAAGAACCCCAAACGCCTTCTCCTGTCCTAAGCAGAAGACGCTGAGAGCGCACAGCAGCGCTGGCGAGGCTGAGAGATAGCTGCTGGAAACCTGTTCTCACCCCCATCGCCTCTACTGTAAATAAACCCCGAGCCAAAGGGCTCATCCGTCTCCTTAAACAGCCAGTAAACTTTATATGACACAATATCTAATAGTAATTTATTGGGGAGATATTGTAAATTCCAACGGTTTTAGTTAATAAAGGAGCTAATTAAAGAGGGACGGGCTGTACTTGGCCAGCTGTTGGTGATACGTGTGTGTGTGTGGGGGGGGGTGCGGGGTGCAGAGGTGTGTGCGCGCGCGGGTATTTTGGGTGACACTTTTTTTGTTGTTGTTGTTTCGCCCCGCGTCGGGCGATCGCTTCCCCGTCTGCGTTAAGGTTTTATGTGATTTTTTTAAAAACCAGAACCCAACGAATAAATCTGTTCCTTCCTTTCGCTTCCCCTGCCCCCTCCCAGGATTGGGGAAGGGGGAAGTTTGAGTTGCTGCGGGGAATGTGCGTGGGGGGGCGGCTGTCCCCACCCCTCCCCCTGGTGGTAGCGCCCACGTGAGCGAGTCGGCCAATGGGTGGCTGGCGCAGGTTTAACTATGTTTAATGTCAGATAGCAATAAAGTAGAAGCTGCCGGCCGGGCCCCGCGGAAATGGGCGAGCATAACCTCCTGAATCCCGGGTTTGTGGGGCCGCTGGTGAACATTCACACGGGGGACACTTTCTACTTCCCCAACTTCCGCGCGTCGGGCGCGCAGCTCCCGGGGCTGCCTTCGCTGTCCTACCCGCGCCGCGACAACGTGTGCTCGCTGCCCTGGCCGTCGGCCGAGCCCTGCAATGGCTACCCGCAGCCCTACCTCGGCAGCCCGGTGTCCCTCAACCCGCCCTTCGGCCGCACGTGCGAGCTGGCCCGCGTGGAGGAGAGCAAGGGCTACTACCGCGAGCCCTGCGCGGAGGGCGGCGGGGCCCTGAAGCGGGAGGAGCGCGGGCGCGAGCCCGGAGCGGGGCCCGGGGCCGCGCTGCTGCAGCTCGAGCCGTCGGGGCCGCCCGCGCTGGGCTTCAAGTACGACTACGCGGCGGGCGGCGGCGGCGACGGCGGCACCGGGCCCCCGCACGACCCACCCTCGTGCCAGTCGCTGGAATCCGACTCCAGCTCGTCCCTGCTCAACGAGGGCAGCAAGGGCGCGGGCGCGGGCGACCCTGGCTCTCTGGTGTCGCCGCTCAACCCCGGCGGCGGGCTCTCGGCCAGCGGTAAGGACCCCGGCTCCCGCGTGAGGCTCACCCACTGGACGTCTTGCTGGTGTGGGCAGGGGAGGCCGGAGCTGGGGCTGCAGGGGTGACAGAATGTGCGGTGAGCTGGCGCCTCTTTTTAAGGAAGGGGGCTCTATAAACACGTAAATACACCCATAAAAGAACTGGAGAGATCTCCTGCGCTCCCGGTGGCTGTAGGGGGCAGGGACTCCGGAGAGCGGGGATCCCGACCGGGACTTCCCCAAGTCGGGGGGTGGGGGGTGGAGAAGGAGGTTCCATTCCTACTTTCCGGGGCGCCTTTCTTCTGCTTAGACACAGGCCTCCGTTACGCACCTTTCTTATTTTAAGAAATACAACAGGATTTCCTTTTCACCGCCCGCCCATGTCTTCTCTAAGTGATGAGATCCGCTGGTCTCAGAAGTTGCGAGGGGATCAGGCCAGGGAATTTTCATGCTGACGGTGGTGGTGGCGGTGGAATGGAGAAGAGTTTGGAAGGAGTGAGGAGGTGCGAGTCCTGCCACTGTGGGAGGTAGGATGAGGCACAGAGCGAAAACGGGAAATTGGCGAGGTGGCGAGGTGGCAAAGGCTTTCAGGACACCTAGGAATGAGGAAAAGGGAATGGTCCGGTCTGGGTGCGGGGCCGGGGGGAGGTCTGGAAAAGGCCGAGGCCACTGAGCTAGCCATCCCTGACCCTCTGGCCAACGCTGCGCTTCGTCTCCACCCAGGCGCGCCCTGGTACCCGATCCACAGCCGCTCCCGGAAGAAGCGCAAGCCCTACTCGAAGCTGCAGCTGGCTGAGCTGGAAGGCGAGTTTCTGGTCAACGAGTTCATCACGCGCCAGCGTCGGAGGGAACTCTCGGACCGCTTGAATCTTAGTGACCAGCAGGTCAAGATCTGGTTCCAGAACCGGAGAATGAAAAAGAAAAGACTTCTGCTGAGGGAGCAAGCTCTCTCCTTCTTCTAGGGGCCAGGACATGCGTGCCAGCCCCAGACTGAGCTTGCCTTGATGGAGCAAGAGGGGCACAGCCCGGGACGGAGTCCCGCTTGCAGCGCCAGGCCTTCTGGCAGGCCCTCCCTGGACGTCTCTTGTCTGTTTTGTTCGTGGTTCCCTCCCACACACCCCCTCAGCAGGCCCTGCGGGTCCCGGAGAGAAGGGAATAAACCTAGCCGGAGGAGGCGGGAGCCCGGGAGAGACACGGGCAGGCTAGGGCACTGTGCAGGGGTGGTTCAGTTGAGGCAGGACTGGAGCTGCTGCGCCTCCCACTGAGGTTGCCGGAAAGCAGAGGCAGCGTAGACAAACCTCCCGCCACTTCCCTTTCCGGTCTTAAGTCTCTCCTCTTAAGACCAAGGTTGACCGAATGGAACCCAGGTGCCCAAACTCCTCTCAATAGAGTTGTGAGTTGAGAGGTGGAGGCTGGAACGGAGAGGAACGGTGGTGAGGGCGAGGTTGGAGAGCTGTGGCAGGCGTGGAGGAAGCAGGGAGCAGGGAGGCAGTGTGGTCGGGTCTCCTCGCCGGAGTTCCAGCACCCGGTGGGCGGAAGTGCCTGCATTTGACAGACTACCCGCAGGAAAACAGGCTGATCTGATCAGCTTCGGATTCTCCGGGATGGAGCTAGAAAGTTTCAAGGTCCTCAGCCGGCCGCTAAGCCCCCAGCACGCTCAGCTCACAGGTGTGCCAGCCACTTCACTTACGCAGGGGCAGACTGGAAGCGGCGAGGGGGGCGACTGAGATCCGAACTCACACAAACAGGTTCATCTAGCCCCCCAGACCCCCACTGGTCCTCGGGGAAGCCCACAGAGGTGGTGGAGGTTGCTGGGAGAGCAGCCTTGATTGGCAGGGAGCGTTTCCGGCACCTACAGCAGCCCACCGGCTGGTTTTCTCTTCCCGCTGGCGTTCACGGTCACGGCCGGCCGGAGGCTGGACCAGCGTAATTTACGAGGCGGGAGGAGAATCTGCCCTTAAAGGGGCTACGGGAAGCAGGGGCCCAGCTCAACCCGTTTCCCAGGCCTGGTGACAGTGAAGAAGGGGGCGCTGCAGTTTCCCACTCAGCTCCTTTCTCTCTATCCCCCTCCCGCCCCCCAACATCGCCCTTTGTCTCGGGATCCGCTGCCTCCGCCTCCAGGCCACAGAGTGTTGGGGCCTAAGCTGAAGAGGGAGGGGCTCATCCCCAGTTCCAGTTGGAGGCTGAAGAGGAAGGCCCTACATGCTTTCAGCCTCCAGTCCCAGGCCAAGGCTGGCCAGCTCTGGAAAGAACGATCCAGACAGCTCCCTAGCACCCTGCTCCCTGTTTTTACTCTTTTCCACCAGCTTGCCATCTGCCTCACCGCTGTGGAAACACAGGGTTGAGAAGAGGGAGCCTGGCAGAGCTTAGTGCAGTCTGGGTGGCGTGAACCTGCCCGCTGAGGTGAGGAGTCTTCTGAGCCCTCAAGGGCCAGCCACAGAGTATTGGGTTCTCCCAGTAGCACATGGCTGCAAGTTTGTTTACAGGGTTGTGCGTGGAGACACGAGCAAATGTACATACACATAGCTGAGCCCACCAAACTATTGGTCCAAGCCCACTTCCTGCCACACTTGCCAGCTTCCTGGTCTCTCCGGTTGGCTCAACAGAGAGGAGATACAATCACTCGCCTTGATCCTCCATTGGGCACCTAACACATACTGTCCCCTCGCACGTTCACCCATGTTCAAGTTCCCAGAAAGCACCTTGTCCAGCTTGTCCACACAGTCTCCTGCGGGCTGGTCATGGGAGCTGAGGGCTACCCTTCCCTGTGTGTACCCTTGGTGTAGCTCTTCCAGTGACTGGGGGCTCTGGACTCAAGCTCTGCCACTCGGATTTGATTCCTAAAGCTGGTAGAAAAGAGACTACCACACTCCAAAAGGAAGGGGACAAAGTTATGCAATATCCTCTCTTTCCTTTGCTTTAAACTTGACTTCTGTGAGCTTCCTTGTCAATATCTGTCTTGTTGATTGTGTCTGTCTCTAGTACTGACTGTAGTTCTGTGGTAGCCAGCACCCTTCCCTCCCTTCCCAGATCTGTGGCGTGTACTCCCTTCTTCAAGCCTCTGTCTTTAGCACGTTTTCTCTTTATATAGTCTTTGTACAGAGCTGCTCCATCGTGTTAATATTAGTAATTAAAACATGGATGTATGATGACGTGATGTTTTGAGAACCATTTCTAAAACTGAGTCCCCCACCCCATCCGCATATAGTCTCTTCTTTCCAGAAAGAACAGGAGCCCCTGGCCCTTAGCTATGTTTTATTTTCTCCAGCAGGTGAATGGTAAAAATAATAAATGTATAATAATAAAGAAAGAGCACTTGCATGGGTAACAAAAATATATGGCCAACCAGGGTCTGTTGATGAGCTGCCATATCTAGTCCCAAGCAATTACTGGCAGAGAGAAAACTGGGGGTGGTAGAGGGGGAAAGAGAGGGAGCTCTGAAGAGTCACTAGGCTGTAAAAAATAATGTGGACAGCCTAGAGCAGGGGAAAGTGGCTTCAGAGAGGGGTCTGAATGTGTTGCTGCATTGCAGGAGCAGAAGGAAGCAGAGCTGGGACAAGGGGAGCAAGAGTGTGGTGGAGGCTGGGTTTGGGTGGTTGCTGATTGGTGGACCTAGAGCAACACTGTGGTCCAAATGTGGTAGCTTCACTCAGAGAAGGTTGTTCTGTAAACTTGAAACAACTAGGTAATGGACAAAAGACCCCTGGAGCTGGTGAACCGGTCTCCAGTTCTTGAAGCCAGCAGCCCTCTCAGGCCTCTCCAGAGCCAGGCCGGGGGTGGGACGCATTGTTTCCCCTGCAGCAGCCTCTACCCTTCCTTCCCTCTGCCCAGACACTTGAATCTGCCTCTTGCTCTCCCCTCAATTATCCTTACTTAGTTGTCTGCTCCAGTCTGGGGAGTCTTCTCCAAATTCTTCCATCTTCTTCCCAGACCTGGGAGAGCAGGGACTCCCAGTGAAGTCAATGCCTCCAGCCCTGAAATCTCTCCCATCTCTCCTTATGACCCTCACCAGGGAGAGCAGCACATTTAAACAACTCCCATTCTCTCTTTACTCCCTCGCACAGCCCTGGTACAGGTGGAGACAGACCTTGGGGTAATGGTACACCCCCCCCCCCAGAGTTCAGGTGGTTAGCTCCTGGCACGCTGGAGCTGGGGGAAGGACTGTGGTTACTTTGGAGTCTGAATAAAGGGGAGTGGATCTGAAGCCCAGTAAAGCCAGGCAAATGACTCTCCATTTCTTTTGATATATCTTATCTACACAGGAAGGGCCAAGAGTGGACGAACTTCTGGCTTAAAATCAGAGGTAGGGGTGCTGAGGAGACAATGTAGTGAGTGGTCTTTAATCTGCTTCCTTGACATCTTCCCAGATGCCTCCGATATGAAACAGGGCACCTTTCTGAACGGTGTCCGTCCCAGATTCAATAAACCGAGAAAGTTAGGGAAGGAAAACACTACAGCCCCCCTCTCAAACTGAGAAGCACTGTCTGAGTGCCCGCAGAGCTGGGCATTGCTCCAAAGACGAATTCACTCCAGTTTTAAGACAAGGCAACTTGTGCCTGTAACTAGGTCTTTAAAAGAGCAAGAAAACAGAATTACTTGAGCGATCTAGATAGGAAAACAATTGGTCCACAGTGTGTATGTAATCCCAAATCACGTCTGTATCGGACTTGATTGTTCACCAAATCCTGCGCTCTGGTACGCACTCTGCCCAGCAACTTTCTAGCCGGCAGATGAGCTGGGCAGTCGGGCTTCCGCGGATGCTAACGCCGCCGGAAACCCAGCTCTTCGGATCGATGGCTCAAACTCCCAGTTAAGCGGGGACCACCGGCCCGGATCCGGTGGTCCCCGCTTAAACAAACAAAGCAAAACCCCAAGACCAAGTCTTCCGGCCGCCCCCACCCCCTGCCCGCCTTCCTTCTGTGTCGGGAAAGCGGGGTCCCTGGAGTCGCCGAACCTCTGCGCGGTGGGCGTCCGAGGGCACGGAAGATGGTGCGGGGCCGAGGGCTCGGTCACCGCCCGAGGCTGCCACTCCTCACACATCCCGCCTCGGTCCAGAGCGGGCAGTGGGCGTCCAGACGGCTACCGACTTTCCGCGCAGAGGGCTGTGGCCCGCGCCTCTCCCGCTGGCCCGCTGGGGCGGCTGGGCGCTGCTGGCCAGCTCTGTGGCTGCCTCTCCCGAGGAGGCCTGAGACAAAGGCTCGGAGCTGGGGCTGGAGGACCGGGCGCCCCCCCGACCCAGGCTTCCTCAGTGGCCTGCGCAGGCGACCGGCCAGCCGGGTGGGGTGCATGTGGGAAGGGGACCCAACCTTGTTCCGGATCCACTAGTGCGCCCAGAGCACCGGCTGGTCCCGGCAGCCCCGCGCCTGACCGGGCCGCAGCCCTCGCCGCTGCCCAGGGCTGCCGGCCCCCGCGAAGGACGGGATGACCCCTGCTGGCCAGAGCGGTGGAGGCCATCTCTCTGGACCTGGGACCGCCCCACCTCCAGGCCCTGGAGTTTGCAGGGGACGCTGAAGAACAGTCTCTGTCTGCTGTTCTGCCTTGGGCTGCTGAAACTAGGTTCTTAACAAGTTTCCTCTGCCAAGCTCTCTCCTAAGGCCTATTCCCAAGCGGAAGCCTGGCATGGGAGTCAGTAAACTGGGCCTCAAGGAGGCTCAGCCCTTAGCTGCTGCCAATGTGCATTTCCCCGCTTCACGTCAAAGCCTTCTTGCTGAGGAATTGGAAACCAGTCTTCACATGTCTGTCTCTATTATCCCGAACGGAGAGCTTCCTTCGAGGACCTGTCTGTGTGGCTGGAAAACTCTCTGTGGGAGCAGACAGTCCACTTGTGGGGCATGGAAAGATGCTCCATACAGTATACGCTTAGCTCTACTGCGGCCGTAACTGATATATGAAAAGAGCCTGAAATGCACAGACAAGAAGTCTCCTAATTCCGTATACACCAGAGGCGTGGCAAAGTGGTATA